ATCATTATCCACTGTCATATTTCAGAACTGCGAACTACCTTCCCAAAAGTATAAGGTGTCCAGTGTCTGAGATATGACCAAGGTAAGGAGGACTGAAACCCAGCCACCACTGAACAAGAAACATAAGCCTGGGCCGAAGAAATACCTGACAGATTTTTCAAAGGTTTTATGGACTGATGAGATGAGGGTGACACTGGACGGATGAGATGGATGGGCCCATGGCTGGATCAGTAATGCGTACAGACCCCCACTTCGACTCCTGCAAAGTGGAGGTGGGGTACTGGTACAGGCTGAAATTATTAAAGATGAGTTTGTTGGACCTTTTCAGGTTGAATATGAACTCCAAATGAACTCCAAAACCTAGCCAGTGTTTAGAAGACACCTTCAAACAGAACAGGAAAAAAATGATCTTTCAAGAGAACCATGATTTCTACACAGGACATTGCTCCATTGCATGAATCGAAGTACTCCACTAGCCAGTAAAGGCCTTAAAGATTAAAAAAATTATCACATGCCCCCCTTCCTCACCTGACCTAAACCCTATGGAGAACTTGTGGTCCCTTCTTAAACGGGAGATTTATGGTGAAGGAAAACAGTCCACCTCTCTGAACAGTGTCTGGGAGGCTGTGATTGCTGCTGCACAAAAAGTTTATCGTCAACAGATCAAAAAACTGACAGACTCCATGAATGGCAGGCTTATGACCATTACTGAGAAGAAGGATGCTGTATTGGTCACTGATTTATAGTAGCCCAACCCCTTTTTTTAGCACATGTTCACTTTTTTTTTTATTTTATTTTTTTTCAGATTTTCTTCAAAAACTTCACTTGTACTTTCTTAAATATTCATGTTTGAGGTTTATAACATTTTGGATTGACCAAGATCACTGTAATTGTTCGATTATAAAATTAATCTTCATAAATACAACTTTCCTAATAATTATGCACACATTGTAGGGTCTTATGATATATTAAAGGTTAACAGCTGTACGTCTCCATCATTCAGTTGTTTATGTTGCATCATTTGTCCCTTTTTCACAAGAGCCATGAACCTCTGTCTAGATATATGCACACATCTGTTTTGTGATGCTGTGCTTGGCCCAAGGACACAAAAGCTAGCTGATGTACAGTAATGAAGACAAACACGTTTCCATGGAGACAAGATGAGTGTCATTCATGTGGTCCATAACGTGACACAGGACTGACAATGACATAAAAATAGAAGAACTGAGGAGCCAACAACAAAACAAAAGAAAAAGGTCTTAAAATACTGCCGCTTTTTAATAGTCCACAATTCAACTCATAGCTAAAGCTCCCAGCCGTCATCTGTATTGTGAATGCCTAAGCAGGTTTCGAGTAAATCAATCACCAAGTCCAGACACCACCTAATAAAGTATTTGCAAAATTGATTAAAGGTTTATTTGTGCGGTCAAATAATCCCATTGCTCAAGCAGAATTAGTGTGAAAGTCTGCCCTTAGGGAAGAGGCTTGGCTTACCCTTGTGTTTTTCAGCCTCTCTCTCTCTCTCTCTCTCTCTCTCTCTCTCTCTCTCTCTCTCTCTCTCTCTCTCTCTCTCTCTCTCTCTCTCTCTCTCTCTCTCTCTCTCTCTCTCTCTATATATATATATATATATATATAGTCTGTGGTTTGATATTTGTCTCCAATAATACATTGCTAGTGTTAATTAATAATTACTTCTAATATTGTGTTCTTCTGTTTTTTATATTTGTATATAAACTGTATACTGTGCAAATATTTGACCGTGGCAAAATAATACACCACTTTAACAATATTAGTGAACACCTGTTTATACTATATTTCATAGGATTCCATTGAACAATTGTAATCTCATCATTTATTTCAAACGACAAATGACATTTCAAATGTCATTTGTATTCATAAGCTTTCCTATCATTGGTCAGGTGACCTGGTCAGGTGACTACCTGGGCTTGTGTATAAAAGGTGTGAAACTGAATCCTTCATGTCTGAAGAAAGGCCTGACCCTGAAATGTCTCATTGTGGTTCAATAATAATAATAATAATAATAATAATAATAATAAAATGGGGCCTCCAAAGCACTGCAGTGTAGAATTTATTTATCTTTTCTACAATATTTGTCTTTAGACCCAGCATGCAGATGCAATTTTTATTGAATGTGCCAGTATTATTTCTTCGATTACAACATAACATTTACACATTTCAAGTTATATTAACTAATCACATCTTGTATTTCTTAGTCTTAGTCATATGTTTGCATATTTATAATAGAGACATACAGTGATCACAGTGGTGTTGTCAGATTAATGGGCACCAGATAACCATCTATCATTGCAATGACTGCTGATATAATTATTACACATCTCTAAGTGTCATTTTCCACTATGTTCTCATCTACTCTTGAGGAAGGCAATTTGCGCCAAGCAACTAGAAGAAAATCTGGGGAGTGATAAAAGGAAAAAAAGAAGCACCAGGGACTGTTTTACCATGAGGCAAATGTAAAAAACAGTCTAGGGCCCTCAGCAAGTGGGTCCTCCTTCTGAAGAAATGCTCGTCTGCTTTTATACATGAGTGAGCTAATAAGGTATGAAGGTATGACAAACACACATCCATATTTATTAAGTGCTTAATTATTTGTCATTCATCATCCAAGTTCAGTGACAAAGTGAAAAGTGAATATGGGAATATGTTTTTTAATCAATTTAAATTATCACACTTCTTTCACAAACAATGTATGCTTTGTGGACAGCAGTAAAGCAAAAACAGCAATCAGTATATTAAATGTGCCAGTCTATAGCTCTTACTTAAATCAGATTTTCAGTTTTAAGTAAAAAAAAAAAAAAACTTTTAAAAACCATTGGTTGATTATGAATTATCTAAGCATATACTTTGGTGGCAGTGATCTAAATCCAATATCATCTTTATTCCACTTAATAAAAATAAAATAACACATAGCTTTTTGGTGGCAGCACTAGACCTGCATGACTGCATCAAAATAAAATAGTTCTGAAGTTTGGAATATTCTTACAGAGATACAATTTTTGCCATACTGTGAAACATTTGATTCAAAGTAATTAAATTTCCATGATGAGAAGCTGGTAAAGGCCACTCCTCCCACCCACTGTAGTCAGGTTTGTACAGATGCGAGCACATTCAAAGTGAGAATTTATGTTTTTCAAGGATTTTGAGTGCAATAAATATGTCCATAATGAAAATAAATGAGTGTTTGGCTTAGTTACGCTTAGTTGGCTTTGAATAAAAATGTTTTTCTATAACATTCTTTTTTGCCTCGCCTGTTAAGAGTATTCATCCCTGCTGAAATATTCTACTACTTTATAAACATGTATTGCACTGTGTTAAGAGTGAAATCTGCTGCCTGCTTTCCTCCTCTGACGTACAAGCAGTGAATAAATTGTATATTCACTTTTGTAACTAAGTCAGGAGGTGGGACCTGACAATATTAATGGATCTTGTCTTTTATAATTCTCTTAGGCTATATTTCAGGCTGATTATGCAATCATTTCCTGTAGTGATAATTGATATTTTTTTCAGATTTTAGAGATGCCATTGTGAAACAGCTGAAATTCTTAATTCTTCTAAAATGAATTTAACACTTCACACACATTAAAACTAACTAAAAACTGAATGAAAGTGACTTGTATGATGGCTATAGAAATAATATTTTGTTTACTACCTCTAACTTTGCCAGGACTCCCTTAAACAGAGTTTTGTTTCTATTAAGTCAACTCAGCTGAACTTTCATTCTCTGGATTTAGACAAATTGCAGTAGGCTATTTCTCAACATCATTTAGTTACACAGTAATTCAGCATGTTTCACTAAATGAGCTTTTGTTTACCTAGAAAGAGAAGAGTCTATTGCAGATGCACCTGCCACTCAAGTGTCTTGCTTCATTAATTTCCCCTTTTCTAAAGCACAACTCTCATCTCACTGACCATGTCTGTTTAAATAAGCTGTCAATCACACAGCCAGCCCCTGAGCTACAATTACTCCCACATTTTTACATCAACATACAAGATGAGGGGAATTAAAAATACTTTGGAAGATGTGGATTCAGTTTGGTGCAAGCATCACAAACTGTCAGTAACATAAAGCGGAAAATTCAATTATTACAGCACAATTGAATGGGTCTGAATTAAACTTGTCTTTACTATCTATCTACTTAAGTTATTTGTTGAGGATCACTGGAACTTCTCAAGGAATATTAACACCCTAATTACTACATGGATTGATATAAATTTCACTGTGTGTTTATATGAGCCATTTGTCTCAATATGCCCTATAGGTTTGTATACATACAAAGAGTAAATGTTTCAGATATGATGACCCTATAATGACTTCTGCTTTAGTCCAGCAGATTAGCAATTTCAGAATTGAGAAAGCTCCTTTTTAAAGATTCAGTTCATAAAAAAGGCCACTAGATGGGGCCCAATTCAAATGAAAAAGTTTTAGGCCTAATTTAACTCTAAAATACCTTACACTAAATAGTACATGTTGAGAATTGGACAGTTTAACTTACACAGAAATCTTGGTCTAGCTCTATACACCCGCTAGCCTGATGCACATACAGAAGAGTTTTTGGAGTGCTGCCAAAATGCAAGACATCCATCAGTTTGCAATATTGGCGAGTGGACTCAATGTCTGTTACTCATGTACTACTAGGCCTTGGAATTTAGCCAACATAAAATACGTTTTGTGAATATGTGTTTTAATGGCATGATTATAGTATAGGATTTCATTATTTTGAAGACAATAATGATGAACTTATCCTAAATGATTATTTCGTTTAAACCTGTCCAACCCACTGGTAGGCCTTTAAATTAGGCTGAATCCGGAGTGCACTTTGGCGCTTTGTTCACATTAGGGCGCATGGAGACAGTGCACGGCACGTTCCTTGAGTCCCCGGTCATTAGCACCGCCCCGCATGCCTGAGCGAGCTGATCCTCGCCGGGTTAAAGTCGGGTTAAAGTCAGGTTAAAGCTCACATACACTCAGGTCGGCAGTGCGGTGTCTGTCCCGGGTCAGCCGGTGCTCGTCGGTGCAGATTGAGGCTCGGCAGCGGACAGGTACGTCCTCTGATCGTCATGCAAGTGAGGAGCTGCCACATTAGATGGTGCTGTTAGAAATCATTTGTATGGTATCCAACAAGATGTGATTTTGTAAATGTAACTTGGTTATGTATATTATTTATATATTTATATTGTTTATTTAGGCCTATAGCCTTATTATTTAGATTTACATTCAACTGTGCTATTAGTCATTATAAACTGGGCTACGTTGTTTTACACCAGTCTATTTACATGATAACGTGTAAAATAAGATACTTTTGTACTATGTACAACAAAGCCCATGTAAAGAAACTGACATAATAAAGTATAGCTCTTCATCCATCAACCATTTTGAGCGAAAAATCATAAATTAGTCCTTAGGGAGACAGACACAACGCAATTTGGACACCTAATAGTAATCATGAACTTTTTTTTTTTTTTCCATATGCCCGTTCTTCCACACTAGACAGGCCAAATGAAGGATTTTTATTTGTTAGATAAAGCATTAAATCAAGCTGTTTCTCTGATGTTGATATTTTAAACAGAAGTGATGATGATTCTCCTGCCTCTCCTCTTTATCGTCATCCTCTACCACACCCCTGTTTCTCTGCTGGAGTTTCGCTATCATAACAACCAGCAGATTAAAGAGTACCTGTATGAAGTCAACACAGCCAACCCCCACATCACACATCTGTACAGCATTGGCCAGTCCGTCAGAGGTAGTACTTTTGCTTAGTATTTGAATATGGGTCTGGCTTTCATGAACTTAGACTTTTAACTCAACAAAAACCCTGTATAATTTTTCAGAGAGTCTTATTTAGGCTCATCACAACTAATGATTAATGTTATCAGTTTCAGTTTAAATTTCATGAGAACACAAAACTCAGTAGGCCTTTATTTTTAAGTTTAGACTATCGTGTCCTTTGTGGCACAAAATCAAACCATTCAATATAATTCAACATCAGTAACATTATTTTTAGGGCCGGGCACGTTAACGCGTTAACTTTGCGTTAACTAATTAAGTCATTAACGCCGACAATTATTTTAACGCCGTTAACGCAGTTTTTATTATTTATTTATTTATTTTATTGTAAATGTCTGTTTCTCACTGGCTTTTATTTTGAAAAAAATCCACCGCGAGCGTTTCTTTAAGTTTGACGTCTTTTCTTTACACTTTTTTCTGACCACGTGAGATGCAACGTGCCCGAGCCTCCGCAAGCCGCGGAGTTCGGCCGCGGGCTCCGGCTCCGGCCGCGGACTCAGCCGCGGATTCAACCGCGGGCACCGGCTCTGAGCAGAGTTCAGTGTTGGAGTAACTGATTTACCCAGATACCACTGGAAGAAAAAATGTGATTGGTCCATTTCCTTTCCATTATATTAACCCTTTGTTTCCTAAGAAATATCAGTCCAAGTTTATAACACTGATCTAGAAATTATTACTAGTGTAGTGTTCATTACTCACAGCATAAAAAATATTCAATAAATATATTAGTAGTACAAACGTCCATTCAATATTTTTTCTTGAGCCTTCGCTGAATACCTTGAAGGCTCTGAGGATTCCCCTGTGAAAGAAATGCTGTTTGCACAACAAATGTATGGCTCTTTCATTTACATTTCCAATAAAAGAGCGCTATACTCTACTTTTTAATTCATTAATTGGTTTTGCGTATAACATGGGAACTCATGCGATTAATCACGATTAAATTTTTTAAATTTTTGCCCAGCCCTAATTATTTTCTTGATTGTATTTGATTCAGTGATTTTTTTCACAGACGTGCTCATAGGCCCTCCATAAGTACGGCTGACAAACCATCGGACCCAGTATCACATTTGACTGAAGTGTCAGGTGCTTATCACCATAGTAACACTGTCTCTGACAGTGTGATCATATAACGAGACTCTAGGCCAGGGTTAATTTAGTCTGGAACAACCTAATCCAACTAATCACTTATACATACAGACACACACTGCTAATCTGAGCTAATCTAGGGCACCAGATGGCCACTGTCCAAATTTGAATATATGTGAATGCGTCTTGTCGAGTCATTTTTCATGACTTACCTCATAGATTTTCATACCCCACCAAACAACCTGTTCACACCTCCCGTAGTTTACTCAACTGTTGTGTGTGCAAGCTCCAACATGTTTTTATCTATGTGCACCACTTTAATGCACATACTATCTGCAGTTTGTATAATAGTGAAAATGTCCCAGGAAACCACCACTTATTGAAACTGTAGTAAATAATATAGTATGACTTTCATATTTGTTCTGCTAATAAACAAATGTCTTATGTTTTCCTCAGGCCAAGAGTTGTGGGTGTTAGCATTGGGTGTCAGCCCTGGCCAGCACACCGTTGGAGTCCCAGAGTTCAAATATGTGGGGAACATACATGGCAACGAGGTGAGCAGACACACACACATACACACACCAATGCACCGGCCCCTCCCTGCTCACAGGAAGTGGGGCTAAAAGGGGACTAAAGAGATCAACAAAAGCCATTCAAACAGTCCACTCTATACATACTTTTGTGGTCAGAGAAAGACCCAGCCTGTTTGTGGGAGAAGGGCGACCATTAAAAATACACATGATAATGTGGTTTGATATAAGTAGTAGACTAAATAAAAATGAGTTTTAAACTCTGTATGCATTATACTGTTTGAGTTCGTCCCTAAACACAAATATTGTCTCTGTTAAAGGGGCACTAATTCTGTTCACCACTACAGTTAGTTGTAATGACTATAATTACAGATGTTTGTGACCATGCTGCAGTGATGTGAACCAAACACACAAGAGCCACTAATGCACATCTTTGCAGAGAACAAGGTATAGACTCCCCTGTTCCAACACAGCTTATTATATATTAAAAATGATGTTGCAAGTGTGTCTAAGAAAAAGTGAAAAAAAAAACCCACAAAAGTTGGGTGATCACTGTCTATGAAAGTCAGACGAAAATATCCTTAAATAGACACGTTATGGCTGGACACACACTAGTACACACAGAGTCAGTGGAGTGTGTCGTCACTCTGAGAAAACTCTCAGAGAAAAAGCTCCATTCACTTAGCCCCCCCTCCACACACACATACACACACACATACACACACACATACACACACACATGTTGGGTTTCTATACTTTTTTGGCACATTGTATTGACTTGCATTCATTTCCTGGAGACTTATCCTATCCTTAACCGCAGTTACTAGTTGCCTAATCTAAACCTTATCCTTCACCTTCACCTATTTTAATCCATATTATATCTTTTAACCACATTGTTGATCTAATATAGGATATATGCCATGGGGATTTTTTGTGCCCATAAGGGAGGCAAACCCAGTTGTTTGTACAGTTGTTTGTAATAATCAAGAATAATAATTCTTTGTTCAGCAGAGATTGTAGCCCTGAGAGAGTACAATCCAAATGTTTTTGGAGGGGGAGGAACCCTGGGCCTCCCTGGCCCTGCACAGAAAATCATGACAAAAAAGTATGCTATAAATACAGTACAGATAGAAAGAGATAATTTAGCATTTATGACCTCAAGATAAAATAGCTTTGTGCCCTTCTACTGTGTTTCTCACTGCATGAGTCACAACTCTTGGACTCTAATGATAAAACTGACAAAATTGACAAGAAACATATTACACTACATTTTAAGTAACACATTGCATATTAGATTTTCCAGTTAAAAAGACATTATGTGCTGCTCTACATATTTTACATAGTGAACATATGTGAGTTATACTTAATGAGAGAAATAACTGAACACATACTACAGTAAGATGTACCTTTTGTAACAGGTATAACAGGAATAGGTTGAATTTTTTGTGTGAAATAAGAAATGTACACAGACTCACCTACATGATCCTAACAAGACTCATCTTTTTGTAAAAAATGTGCTAATGTAATGGCTTCCAAATTTCAAGCCAGGACCACCAAAATTAAACACCTGGGAACCCCACAATCAAACGTCTATTGGCACTGGTAACTATTTTGAATGTAAACATGTAAAATCAGGTTTAATATGATGAGTTTTTTATTGTGTTCTTCATCCACATGATTTAACCCCTGGGCGGGTCCCAGGGCTAGTACTCAGAAATATACACGCAGGTTGTGGGTGTACCTATGTCATTCTGGTGAATACATATGTGACAGATCTTGTTTAGGAAGTTGGTTATTTCAGCTTCAGTTGACAGTTCCTGACATACTGTAAAGCTTGAATGTTTAGCTGCTCTTGTTTTTGTACTTGGCCAAACTGACTCTTAACACCATTTCTTTGTTTAACAGTATAATGCATATCAACTGTTTATAACATATATTAGTCCAAATGGAAAAGGAGTACAATAGAATTCATCAGTCAGTTGAGTTTGAACAAAGCTCTCCTGCATTACAAAAGAAAAGATACAAGAGGTTTAGATTTTAAAGAGCTGTATCCATTGATTCAGTTATATCCTTTATGTTCTGAAATAAAGAAGAGAAGGGTGTGCACTTTAGACCACAGCAGGATTCTGGAGGAGTGGAAAGAGGATAGAGGAACACACGGATGGCCAGAGGCAAAGCTAGTCCTGACGTGTGTGAGTAGTGCTCTTTGCACACGTACCTCTTCACCTTTCCCACCCTTCTCTTTTTCTCTGTCCTGAGTTTCCCATTCATGCACCAAGTGTCCGTACTCTCCCTCAACATGTCAGAAGAGCAACCAAAGGTCCATGTCCAGATTGTGTTTCCAGTCACAAAGCCTCGCAGCTTCACTTCCTCCCACACACTTTCCCCATGGAACAAGCAAACACACAGCAGCTGCTCATCAAGCTGCCATGTTGTGTTTGATTTATGATCTAGAAGAGGAAATGTGGATTTGAACATGATAGAAAAGTGTGTAATGGAGCCCTGATGATTATACTGTATTTTTTTAAGTTACATTCAAATAGGTAAGGCAAGGCAAGTTTATTTGTATAACACAATTCATACGCAAAGTAATTCAAAGTTCGTTCACATCACAATAGGAAATAAATATTAATATAGAAGAACATAGATAACCATTGTAAAAATTTTAAAAAGAGAAGAGTGCAGAATAAAATAATGTAATTCATAATCCCCTAAAACAAACTGTTTTGAGATTTGACCATTGTCAGGGAAGAGGCCTGTCTCACATAACAGGAAGACTGTTCCAGATTTTAACTGCATAAAACTGACTCCCCATGCTTTGTCCTGACTCTGGACACCAGCAGGAGGCCTGTCCCTGAGGTCCTCAGAGTGCGTGATGGATAATACGGCACTAACTTGTCAGAGATGTACTTTGGTACAAGGTCATGGAGAAACTTGTTTACAAGCAGAGCTGCCTTAAAGTCTATTCTCTGAGCAACAGTAGCCAGTGTAGAGATCTGAGCACAGGACCTTTGTGCTCATACTCCCTGGTTCTAGTCAGGACCTGAGCAGCAGTGTTCTAATGCAGCGAATAAAAAAGTTCAATATCTTTCTACAGGTTCTGGGCAGAGTGCTCCTGTTACATCTCATAGACGACTTGGTGGAGGGATATCGTAAAAATGAACCTTGGTCTTTGCAGTTACTGAACAGCACCCGAATCCACATCATGCCAACGATGAATCCAGATGGTTTTGACTCATCAGACACAGACTGCATGTACAGCCAGGGCAGGTACAGGCACACTGAACATTACAGCATAACACAGATGTTGCTCAGGGTGCTAAAAATATAAATGCTCAAAAACATGACATGAGCAAATGACTAAAACTTATACATAACACCACTATGGTTGACACATAAATCATTATTCTGCAATAATAATATATAACATGTTAACCATCAGGATTACCTTGTAAATCATATACTGGATGACTAACAAGTAACACACAGGAAAATATCTTCTTGGTTTGGTGTGTCACTCAGTGTGTCTCATGAACTGCATTTTTTTCATTCAGTTATACTCTATTTATTTTATTTATTGAATAGAGACAAATTAAGTAAATATTCCAGATTATAGCAAATGTACTAATTTCAATCCACCAATTTCCACAGGTAATACATAGTAGTTATTTATTTTACCATGCAGTTTTAGTGGTAGCCTACTTTTGATTTTGACTTTTTGCACAATCACTATTATACTATTAACGCCCAAAACATGTAGATTAACAGGAAAGCAGACTTCCACACATTGCTGATTCCTATCTGTCATACAGTTAAACACTGTAACTGAGCTAATTACACATTTGTTTTGACTTCATTTGTCTGGTCTGATTTTGGAAAAAACAGTAAACTACAGGCTCTGTACTTGCCAAATAAACTTGGTGGATATTATGTTCATGTTTATGTTTTTGTAGGTGCATACAAAGGGCTGCATTTGAGTTAAACTAGCACTACACAGGAAAAATAAACTGGGCGTTGATTTTTCACCTCCTCTCTGCAGCTTGTTGTAATACCAGACACTGAATATGATGTGCACTTCTTTAAGACACTGGCTCGTGGGAATTTATATATTTTTTATTATCTATTTTACTCTGCTGCTAATTTGCTAGATACTGTGGAAGATGGGGTACCTATGGACAATGGTTGCATAATCATAAGTCTAACAATTAATAGTTAAAATGATGATAAACTCTGAATATTTTTAAAATAATCTGATCTAATCTAAATGGTTTTGTTTGCTTGTTTGTTTGTTTGTTTGTTTGATTGTTTGTTTTGTAAATGGTTCACCATAGTAACAAAGAGTTTTTTAGGTTCAATCACAATGGAATTGACTTGAATAGGAACTTCCCTGATGCCTTCGCTGCTCAGGCGAGTGATGAAGACAAGAGAGAAGCAGAGGTTAGAAAACATCCTGAACTTTTGCCTTCTTCTTAAATTTGATAATTCCACATTAAGGCCTGATTTGACCCTTGTGTAGGTCCAAGCTGTGATAGGGTGGCTGCAGACTGAGACTTTTGTTCTCTCTGCGAATCTTCATGGAGGAGCTCTGGTGGCCAGTTATCCCTATGACAACAGTAATGGAGGTATACTTCACATGCCTACTGAAACCGCATGCAGAAGATACCTAATAACTGATATTCAAATATGAATACATGAATGGAAATCTGAAATCATTGTTATAAAAGACATAAATTATTTTATTTTTACAACTCAATCAGATAGTAAGATTGACAAGTCTAAAGGACATGTTGAGTTACAGAAATCAGATATTATGATTTTCTATTATTATTGTTTTTAATGCTGATGTTAGGACAGTTTGTAATAATGTAGTAATTCTGTAATGTTTATCACCATTTTCAGAGTCAGATTAGAATAAATTGCATTTTGTGTGTGTCCTTTTAAGGCAGTGAGTTAATAAACGGAGCAAGCGTCAGTCCTGATGATGATGTCTTTGTTCACCTTGCTAAGGTGTACTCCTACAACCATGCCTCAATGTACAAAGGGAATCGCTGTACGGAGAGTAGACCCTTCTTCAATGGTATCACTAATGGATACAAGTGGTATGCTCTTGCAGGTACATGAATTACTATAAAATAACTCAACTGAACAAAAAGTGTTGAATAAGATTTGATTCTTATTGTATATTGTTGCAGGTGGGATGCAGGATTATAATTATGTGTGGGCTCAGTGTTTAGAGGTAACTCTGGAAATATCCTGCTGCAAGTTTCCTCCTGTCAGTGAACTTCCTGCCATGTGGACAGACAACAGAAAAGCACTTCTTTCTTACATTCAGCAAGTCCATTTGGGTCAGTGAGAGTTTGAACATAATGGATGAATTTTTCTCTCACATTCTATCCTATTCATCACTTGTTCTCACTATTCTGAAACTTTCAGGGGTCAAAGGTCGTGTATTTGACAGCACTGGTGCACCAGTTCAAAATGCAGTCGTGGAAGTTGTTGGTCGCAGAAATATGTGTCCTTTTAAGACTAACCAACATGGGGAGTACTACAGGCTGCTCCTTCCTGGAAACTACACCTTTATGGTAGGTGCATTTGATCATACACTGACCCCCAGTGGCTATGGTTAATATTAACTATTGTCACTTTCTTGTGGTTAGGTGACTTACCCAGAGCATGAGGTGTTGACTGAAACATTGACAGTTCCGTATGGTCCAGATAACTACTCAGCGTTAAAACATGACTTCCTTTTAAAAAAAACTAAAACAACTCAACAACCTTCTTCTACAACAAGATACAATGTGACATGTAACACTGACCTAAATGCAGGTGCTGTCAGTGTGAGACTGCAGCGGACAGGCTTGGCTGTGGGAATATGCCTGGTCATGGTGACCTCATATATGGGCAAATGAAAACTGCTGATGAAGGAGCTGGGCACTCAGGCTTTAAGGTCACACTGCTGGGGTGTGTCCAACCAACATGAAACCCTCACAAAGACTTTTACACATGCATGGAGTTATACGAGGAATGAATGCTATAAATGTTCTTGTGTAACTTATGGTTTATTGTCAGTCTGAATAAACAAATTGTTCTTGAAATTTTGGCAAAAATTATGTATAGTCAAAGCAGCTTTATGTCTGTCGTGAGGGAGCACTGCTATATAATACCTCAGCGTACTAACTATGCCTAAACTAGAAGCCTTAAATCATTACAAATGTGTACAATTTTTAATGCTAACATGTTTGTATTTTTAAACTATATTTAAAGGCCATACTTTGAGACAAATATATGAAGTGCCCTAGAAATTATACTGTATATTTTGCTGTATGCATAGATTCAACATGTTTTTGCCAAATAAGGATATCAGCACTAAACTGCAATGCTAGTACTAGTTTACATGGTCTATGAGCATACATTTTACTCAGATGTATATATTTGACATCTTTTATTATATTTATTTACAGCTGCGTCATTAATACAATATTCTAATGTCCATGCACTGTCTGCTGTAGGCACCATTTAAAAACAACACAGTAGTCTTAAACATGTAATGCACTTCACAGAACAATAGTGCACAGAAGTGCATATGAAGTTGTCATTGTTTTGAATGTGACCACCTTAACTTGAATTTGAATTGTACTGCTCTGTATGCCAAACTGCAATAAAGATTTGCTTTGATTTTGTAATCTTCAGAACCAACCTTGCTTCATGCTGCTAGTCATAGATGTCATTCAAGTATGGTGTCTGGAATGCTTGTAAAAACAAAACAAACAAACAAAAATCTGTTAAATAATAAATGTACCACTGCTCAGTACACAAACTGATGAATTTGGATCTTTGATACAGTCAGGTTTCACAATATATTTAGCGTATAAGTGCTGGAACAATTGATTAGAATAATAAGGACTAAAATTGTTGTTTTGTTTTCATTGACAATATACCTTATTGGTAAATATTATTAATATTAAAAAGATCTGTCTCCATATTTCACCCTTTATTATAAAATGTACTAAAAAAAATTCTCTAGTCGGTTCATCTAAACAACAGCATTTAAACTGAACAAATCTCTCTGTCTCCAATGCCAATATCTACGTCATGAAGTCGATTTTTAAATTTTAATTCTAGAATCAGTCCGAGTTAACAAGTTACTTATGTTTTATTCATGACCATAACTTTAGTTTTGCTCAGGAGGAGTTCACTAATGCTATAATTCCCAAGTTTGATTCAAATCTGATAATGTTGACGCTTTATGGTAGGGGGCGCTATAGTGTTCACTTTTCATATACTTTATAGTGTATTACAATCAGGCCGTCATCAGGCATTAGTGATTAAAATCTTAGCACAATTGACTAAGCATGTCCGTGTAATCATTTTTAAACTTTTTGTGGGCGAAGTCTTTGCGCCTCTGCTGGTCAACGATGAAAAATACCCCATGTCCGTAATAAACTTTTTTTGCTTGTAATCATGCATAGAATTTATTTCCTGATTTTGCTAGTAATCCGATAATGTTGACTTTTCATGTTTATGCTAGGGGGCACTATAGAGTTCACTTTTATTAGATTTCATTACATTCACACCTGGATCACGCATTTGTGATTTGAATTTGAGCTCTCTAGCCTTGATAGATCCAAATTTGTTTTGGCAACAGCAAAGTTCTTCATAAGATGTCCCAGAGGGGAGGACAGATTTTTGGCTTGTTGCCATGGCAACACAGTGTTTGCTAGGGTGTGGGCTCCATTGTAAGTCATGGATATGTGTACCAAATTTTGTATGTCTACAACAAATATGCTACTTCATACAAATTGTCTAGGGGGCGCTATTCCACCCTTCTTTTTTTTTTTTTTTTAAATATATATATATATCAATCTATTCAGGGTCGGGGTGTCCACCCATGATGCAAGTTTGAGAGAAATTCACCAAAGTTTGTGCGATTTGGTGATTTTATCATTAAAGTGGAGAGTTTATGTCATCGCTATGGCAAAACTGCAAAAAAATATGGCATGGGTGTCGTTGACTTTTGTGATCAGGTTGGCAAAACTGAATTTTGGCTAAAATTTCTGAAAAATTGGAAAAACTAAATATTTTTCTCCCCATATTCAATTTTGTTTCAACCTGTAGGGGGCGACAATGCACCTTTTTTTTCATATGAGGGCTTTGGGCCAGGAGCAATTTTTAAAATTCTAAATTCACCTCATTGCTCAGAGACTGTACGACGTGTCAAAAATTTGGATACATTTTGATGCCCCACTCTTTGAGATAATGTGTACCAAATTTGAGCTTCTTCAGGTAAATGCCCTAGGAAGGGTGCATAAAAGTATTAATTCATCATTGCATTTATATAGCCAACACCCAAAGAGCTAGTTCATTGTTCACTCACTCCACACTCAGTGGTGGCTACTATTGTGGCTACAACTGCCCTTGGGCAGACTGACGAAAGCGAGGTTGCCAATCTGCACCATTGGCCCCTCTGACCACCACACTCATGCTCACACCCCTTTCTTACTGGGCAATGTAGGTGAAGTGTCATTCCTATGGACACAGAGTTTTTGCTGCTGGCACCCCACTGTGAGACCTGGTGTTCAATTTTATTGATTTTTGGAAATTGGAACTAGCCAGTGAGTGGGATGGTTAGGAGAAAAAGTTTCTGAAGTTTCTGATATGAGAACAATGTTCCGCTTTTTATATTAAACTATATATTTTCGGAAAGCACCCGCATTCCTACATCATGGCGAGGGTCCCAGGCAAATCACTTCCCATCAGTGCACTTACTGGCTACATATAAAAACTTCATTCTCTGTACTGGCGAACATGTACCAGCAGGAGTCAGTGTTGACTAAAATACAGAAATTATTCAATACACACTTTATTTCAGATAAAGAATCTGATATAAGGAGACTGTTCAAACTGACTGTTAAATATACTCAAACCTCTTAAATAACTTTAAATAAATAATAGGATATTGAGAATATTTAGCATAGTCACTTTACATCCGTAAAAGCACATTCTTACAGATTTCCTGGAAAGAATTGGCATATTTTGCATTTAATAAATAACATAATAATGTATACACCAGTGCAAACATATTTACGTACAGTCATATCCAATTGCAATTATATTATTCTAAAAAGTGTGAAAATTAAATTTTTTCCCTACATAATTTCTTTCCAGGAAACTGATAAATTAGTTTGCCAATGTTAGACATTTTTATATATTGTGATGTATACTTTTCAGAACTGATGCTAAATACACAGTTTGAAAAAAATATATATAATTTGTAATTGTCAATTTTAAAAAGAATACTATCTAAAGATATTGGTCTCAGTTGTTATTTGAACAACTATTTAAGAAAATGTGAAGATTTAAATGTCCCATTTTACAAATGCTAAAGCTGAGGTAAAAAACTAGGCTGGTTGCATTGGATTTAGTGCAAAATTATTTGTGGCCACTAGCTGAAGTAAGTCAGAATGACAGACTGGATAGGCATCCTGCACACTGGACACAGCTTGTTTCTCTTCTTCAGTTTTCTTGCACAAACATAACAGGACATGAGGTGTCCTGTTCGACCGTGGACTATACAGCCATTCTTCGGCCGTGACTGACAGATGAGACAGGGGTCCAGGCAGGAGTCTGGCAGCCTCCACTCTGCCGACACGTTGCGCTCCAGCTCAGGCACAGAAGTGACTCCAGAAGTCACTGGGGGTGAGCAGGGAAGAGTTTCTTGAGAGTCTGACGATGAAGGCTGAGAGTCGGTCCAAAGTTTCTCCTGTGAGAACGATGAAGAGGAGGGCAGTGAGGGGGATAGCTCCTGGGATGTTGGAGCAGAGCAGCTGGACTCTGGGACAGACAGTCGAGTCATCGAGAGACTGAGATGGTGGAGGGTTCTTTACCCTTTTACCATCAGGAACGTCAACCCCCTCATTTTCCTCATTATCAAAACCTTTAACATCAACAAGATCAGTAAACCATAAGAAGGGTGAAATAGTGATGTTCAATAAAACAAATATAAATCTTTACCTGGACTTTCTTTGGCCTCAGATTCTTTTGGCTTTGGAGGGAGCAGTTTGGGGCCAGAATCACATTTAACGGTCACTTCAGGCAGCCAGTGCTGCCGTAAGGTCCAGCAGCGCTGACAGTGCCTTGGGAGAGGTGGGTTCATCTCTTCACACTTTTCACATTTCCAGTAGTCCTACAAACAAACAAATGTTAAAAATGTAGGTAAACCACAACAACTAAAATGCACATGAGAAATTTCATCAGATACAGTGTTCAGCCTAAGCCTGACATAGCAGCCAATAATTATCATACCTAAGCACTCCCATATCTTTACATTTTAATATTTGTCATGTTATATATTTAGATCACCATGTTACCTTTTATTGTTTTTTGCAAATGCTATACTCACCAAAAACAACAAAAAATATTTAATAAATTTCAGTTAAATTTTTGATGCCCAGAGTCCCTCCTCCCTTTATTCCCCACACAGAAAGTCACTCCCCTTTCAGAGCACTATCACAACATAGCCAGCATTTCACTAATGAAACTACTGCACACTGCATCATGTTTGTGAAGTTGTATTGTATTCTTTTGTATCATGTTTTTGTTATTTATGGAAAACTGTTGTGCAAGAGCATGGGTGACGAAGCTGTGTGGGCTGAGCATTGCACAGAATTGCACTGCTAAATGTAAGGAGGGTTCAATTACAGAGATTGTTAGATTACGCAAACATGCATGGATATCATATAAAACATCTTTAGGCATGTTTTGATGAGGGAACAATGTTATAACAGCTCCATAAAGTTTTTTTTAACATAATAACCTCTCTTTAAAGTCAACATCATATTTCCCCAGGTACTTACAGCTTCACTGATTTCTGTGTCTTCATCAAAGGAGTCTTCTTCCTCAGCCTCAATGATTGTAACCTCGTAAACCTGAGCATTCACAATAAGGTGTTAAAAAGCTAGATGGCTTGAGTAATTACAATATCAAAGGACAGGCCACTATTATTGATAGTGATACCTGATCATCTCCGGATAGAGAAGCATCATCTTCATCATAGTCATCTGAATCAATGGATTCAACCTCAAATTCAACACTGAAGTTGTCACTGTCAGAATCTGATGCTGGAATTGTGACCTCTGATCTCTCTGACTAAAAATTTAACACATTTAAAGTGATCCTCAAACAAAACAATTTAATAATAAGTACATGTTTTGTATCAAATGTTAATAAAACTCACAGTGCTATGAGATTCTGATGAGCGGCTACTATGTCTGTCCCGTCCCCCTCCTAATCCACCAATCACACACCACGATAGGCTCTCATCAAACGTTAAAGAGTAGCTGTCAGATCTTCTCCTCTTTTTCCCCTCCTCCTCTTCCTCAGACTCGTCCTCCACATCTGCAGCCTCTGCGCTTTGAGAAGGACCTGTAGGTTCCCCACATGTATTCAGTTAATATGATTGTTACAGTCAAAAGGTTGTAATACTTGAAAAAACACAAACCTGGATCACCGCTCAGGAGTCTTCTCCTTCTTCTCCTCCTTCGCCGCCTGCTTCTGTCTAGAGACGATGTGCAACTTTCTGTCTCTCCCTAAAAGAAAAACACCAAGGTTAAAATTTAGTAAAAGTAACAAAAAAGTAAAAAATTACATATTACATAATAGTCACGATAAAATGCAATATAAATCGGTGAGACCAATCTGTCAGCGTTTGATATGCATGTCTTACCTCTGTGGTTTTGTTGGCCTCATTGCTGCTGTGCCCATCAGTTGATAATGAGTCTAAAAGCAAAAAAATGGGATTCAAACTATAGCAAAAAGGAGACTTATATTAATAATAAAAAGTAGAGAAAATAAATTGAAGATAATACTTAAAGTGTAAAACACTAAAATATTTAAGAGCAAGTTAACAATCATACCTTGACTCTTTACAGCAATCAGGTTCTTGGTGAGCATAGCAAACAAAGCACTGAAACAAATAAATTACAACAAAAATTAGCTCAAGTAGCCACAATTGAAAAAGCATTACATTTTTTTATTGATAATTATTGTACCGAGGTTCTTTGACTGAGAAACTTTCAACGCCCAGGACTCGCCCAAGTGCGTCCTGTGCACAGTGGACAATGTGCTGCTGCTTCTGGTCGTACAGCTTTTTCTGCATAATGTACTGTCCGAGATAAAACATCACCTGTTGAAAGGAAGAATACTGCACTAAGAAACTTGTTTTGACTGCATAAGTCTATTACACTGAGTTACTATATAGTACATTTTGTATATTGTTGCCAAGAAAAAAATCATGCTCTGGAAACTTAGGCCATAGGTCATAAAAATATAAAGACATCAGTGTCTTTTAATTTTGTTATGTATAAGAAAACCGTACCTCCTTCATGGTGAAAATGTCTTTAGTGGCACCAGCAAGTTGTAGTAATGACTGAAACTCTACCTTTGGTCTGACCTAAACACAGAATGATACATGTCAGTTAGGGATTTGCTTCTTCTTGTAAATCCAAAAAAATATGTCAGCAAGTATAAACTCTCACCAGTTTAGTGTCATCAGGGGTGTCTGAGCTGAAGTCCTTATCAGACATGGTTAAACAATTTTCTGTAGAACAAAGGTTTAGACACATTTTATTAATTATTATTATTACTATTTTATTTTTTACAGTGTGACCATAGTAACAATCAAGTCCTTATTATAGAAAAAAAAAGATTTCCATTCAAAGCAATGAAATGCTGCAATCATGTATACCTTAAAGAGACATTATATTGAAATATGTTGCATTAAAGTATACTGAATCTTTACTTCTTTCTCCAATGAACTGACAGTGGCATTTTACAACAACAAAAAAAAAAATCGACTGAGGCTGTCTTGATTACTTCATATTCACACACCTAGAACAAGCCAACATTTAAAAATAAAATGGATTCTTACCAGTGTTAACTCTACAAACAGCCCATCATGTGCAAGTAATGATAAAGTGCAGAGAGAAGAGAGGGCGCGCAGCATTGCAGCCTCTTATATTGAGCCTCAGACATGTCAGGACTAGACCAAGCGAGAGGACCTAGCCCAGTCTGACTGGGGCCTATCACCACTGAGTCAGCTGGGGTAGAAAACTATGTACACGTTACAACTGTACCAGCTGATTCAATCATTTGTTGACATGCCAAGACTAGTCTTTGGTGACTCATCAAATTATGCATAGAATAAAAATGCAAAATAATAATAATAATAATAACACTGCTTTGTGAGCTCTTCATAGGATAAAAGCAAATGTGAAAGAGGGAACCATAAACAAATGCTGATGATGTTACTGATGACTTATATTACCTGGTCCTTCATCACTTACACCACTGATACACCAAAACATAAATGAGTTTCAATTGGAACCGTGTACTGAGAGCACTGAATGTGATCAAAGGAATCATACATACATACATACATACATAATTATTATGATTATTATTGTTTTTCTTGTTTATTTTTTATTTATTAATTTTTTACTTATATAGCGCTTTTATAAACACTCAAAAGACACTCAAAGAATTCAAAATAAAATGTAAACAAAACAATTACCGTCACATGTCCAGTGACCCTTTAGTACAGCACAACCTTTGGGCATATTGACTTTGCTTTTGAACAGAAGCGTGAATGTCATAATGACTAGTTCAGAAACAGATGACACATACTGCCCTGTCAGCTGGTGAACACACACTTAACACTACACAAACACGGACAAAATATGCCCGGACTTGTTCCACTAGCCCCGCTCTTCGTGTACGGTCTGGAGTTTCACTACAAGCAGGTCTAGAGGCAGAAAACATGGATAGAGCAGCTCTTTAATCACGTAGCTAAATAAAATCTTAAGTATTTCGAATAATGAAACCATTTTTTTTTTCATAATTCAGATTTCAGAGTATTTTAATAGCACTTTGTAAAATAAGCGACATCGCAGTAGCGCCAAATATTTAAATTGCAAATTAAATAGCATGCATACGCACACACTGATACAAAACACATTTAATTACTGGGATAACGCTATTTAAAAGTGTAACAGACTGCATCGTGTATAATTTCGGAACTTCACAGCCTGGGACGAAAAACATTTCGACGAAGAGTATTAGCCTTAATCCGATCACTCGCAACATACCAGTACAGAAACTTTTTAGAGAAAGCTGTAAAAAATTATACTTACTAAGTGGAAATTTCAGGAGAAACGACAAAGATTTGGGGTGGCGGCTTCGTTTGAGGTCTATGTTTGGGGTTAACCTGGGTGAAAGCGGCTGGAAAACACGAGGTCTGCGGCCTACTGCACTTGCGAGAGCAGCTAACCCTAGCTAATGAGCTCGTAATACAAACATGTTAAGTCTGTTAAGGTATCGAGTAGTTTAGTCCATTTTGTAAATTAAATGTAACCACAGAAAGTTCGGTGCTTACATAGCTGGCTTAACTTGGTAATATCACAAATCACACCACAACAGTCATGTTAGCATCTAACGTTAGCAACGGACTGTTTACGTCTTCGCCCCTTCATGTTTTGAACAGCGCCCTCTCTGGCGGTGTGACAAACACACACTTTGACAGAATCATGAAGAAGGCCAGTAACCATTGTTAACCATTAACCATATTATAGTTCTATGAGAGTGCAGTTTCACAGTATTGAACATAATCATTATTGATTATTATATATTGCAGTCAACCCAGTATCATGACATTGCAAAGGTGACATTACATTATTTTAGGATGCCAGACTATTACAAAAGTACTATTATTTGTTGTGTAACAATAATGTAACATCATATACAAATTTGATAATGGGCATTATCACAAATACAAATTCCAAAATTGGACTTTAAGTACCTTTTCCAATGGAATAATTCATTTGAAAATAGTATCAGTAGTCCCAGACTTCTTTACCCCAGACACTTCATCCAGCGGTATCCCAAGGCTTTCTCAGGCCAGTTGAGAGACAGTCCCTCCAGCGTCCTGGGTCTTCCCCAGGGCCTCCTCCCGGTCGGACATGCCCAGAACAAATTCCGAGGAAGGCGCCCAAGAGGCATTCGGAACAGATGCCCGAGCCACCTCAGGTGGCTCCTCTCGACGTGGAGGAGCAGCGGCTCCGCTCCAAGCTCCTCACTGTATCTCTAAGGGAGCGCCCAGCCACCCTGCACAGGAAACTCATTTTGGCCGCTTGTATCTGCAATCTTGTCTTTTTGGGCATTACCCAAAGCTCATGACCATAGATGAGGGTAGGAACATAGATTGACCGGTAAATCAAGAGCTTTCCCTTTCAGCTCAGCTCCCTTTTCACCACAACAGCTCAATACAGCGACCGCATCACTGCAGACGCTGCACCGCCTGTCAATCTCACACTGTCCTTCTCTCACTCATGAACAAGACCTTGAGATACTTGAACTCTTCCACTTGAGGCAGGGCCTCTCCACCCATCCAGAGAGGGCAAGCCACCTTTATCTGGCTAAGAACCATGGTCTCAGACTTGGAAGAGCTGATCTTCATCCCAGCCAATTCACATTGCAGGTCCCGGTTCGATGGAGGAAGTGTGTGAGTCCCTGTTTAGACTGCTGCCCCCACGACCCGGCCCAGGATAAGAAGAAAATGGATGGATATTTGTAGTTCTATAGAGATGAAAATTCTGTTACCTCTTTGTCCAGTTTTAAATAATAGATTATTCTTGTGATGATGAAACATTTTATTTTTGTATATATACAAACATAAGAACAGCACAAAAAAGCAAGTTCAGGACTGCAATTCATAGCCAAGAGGATCAAATCCCCGGTCCAGCAATGACAGTGAGGACTCTCGCAGCTTTTGCAGGAACCGTCTTAACTCCTCTTTGGAGAAAACCTTGGGATAAACAAAATAGAGAAAATGTAATGAAATGGGAGCTTTAATGATCAAAAGTTATTCATTTCCTACCTGGTAAAGGCAATGCTGATCAGAGGAGATAATGTCAACTAGTCTTAGAGCCTCTTGATGCCTGGAGGAGTTCTGTAACACACTCAGCAACAGGAAACTCAAACGCGGAAGGCAGAGAGAACGCAGTGCCACCATCTGGTGGCTGCGCTCTGAATCCTGTTCTGCATCCTACAAACAAGTGACAAAGAATTGCATTTTGAAAACTGCACTGCAGAACAAATACAACATGCATGTAAAGTATGTTTATGTAAAAAAAAAAAACCTGTCGACAGTCGACCATCCATCCTCCATCAACAAATAACAGCACATTGTAGATTCTTTCTTTGACATCTTCAGTTAGAACATCTAGGCGACAGGACCAAGCATCATATGCAGCCTTTAGGAGAGAGTACATCACTATGAAGTCATGAATTTGCATGAATCCAATGCACAGCTGCTTTTGAGTAGACATTTTCACTACCTGATATTCTTTCTCCCTCATTTCATTTGCCACTTTCTCAGTGAATTTGGCCTCTGGGGCAGGTGCTGGCTTTTGGGGAGCAGAGCTACTGTGACTGAACCAGTCAGTAAATGCTTCATGAGCTTCCTGTTAAAAAGATCAACAAACAATACTTTCAAACAGTCAGTCATCTGTGACATTATTAGTCATGTTCATACAGAACTAACCAGGTAGGCTCTAATGCACAGGTGTTCTCTGATGGCATTCTCATCTTCAGCTGGCATTGTTGCATCACTGACTGCGGTCCACTGGCTGTAAATCTTTTTCATTGAATCCTCCGGCACTTTAGAGAACACTGCCTTGGCACCATCATGCTTCTGCAGAGCTAAGACACAAGATAACTCATAAGAAATGTCCAGTTGATTTAACTTTGAACCCAAAAGTCTAATCAGGCCCATACCCAGAAACTTCCTCATGATGGCATTGGATTGCTTTAGGGCCTCAGCTCGGTGTGCCGGATCAAACAGTAGCCAGTCAATGACATCAATCTTCTTTTGATCCTCCTGTTTAGAGCATCATATAATTTCACTGATGTTTATCTTAAGTTAATAAGTTAAAAGTGTTTGTATTGACAAGAATATTTCAAGAATATGGCAGGCATTTTTTTTTTATTAATTTTTAATTAATTTAATTAATCTTTTTGTAATTAATATGTATACAGCAATACTGATAGGCATACCTTTGTAGTTCCAGTCTCCAGTGTTTGGCTGTGATGAGTAAATTCAGTTTCATCTCTCTCTCTCACATTTTCAACCACAAGTTTAGTAATTGCAGTAATATCCAGGCCTAAAAAACAAACAAAATTATTTTTGTATCCTCTCACCTTCAAGTGGCTTACCAGAGTATATCTCACCTGCGTCAGTTCCAAGTTCAAGACAGCGAGGTCTAAGCTCTGGTTGGGTGATGGTTTCCAAAAATGAAGCATACTGCACTGTGGCAAGGTCAGATGGGAGTTGGCCAACATAGTTAGCCACAAGCTCTATTTGCTGATCGTGAATCAGCAGGGACACATAAGATGTCAGTACATTCACACACACCTCCTCCTAAGAAATATCAGGAAAATACTTTTGGTTAGAATGCAGAATTTGCCATATGGTTAAAATCACTGTGTTTACTAGTTGAAGCAGAGCATAGAAGTTTTAAATTAATTTGCTTTGAACTGTACCTTAAGTGCTAATCCAAGAGAGCGGAAAAACAAAATGACATGGGTCATAAAACGCAGTAGATGAGATGGTATGGGTTTGGCAGCATTCAGCCACTCAGAAAACTCATCCAAAAGACCTAAAGATAGATATTTTCACTTGTTAATTTTCACTGAGCATTAATTTATGAGAAAACTTTGAGACAAACCATCCAAATCTCCAAGGATGATAAACTTCTGAATAATGTGATAATGCTCTTTGGTCTCCTCCAAAACCCTCTGTTCAAAGAAACATGTGAACAGTTTTGGCAAGTGTTCAAATGTATTATATGTATTTAAGATTCAATCAAAAATGTACCTTGGACTCAGAGGCTTGAAGTTCCTCAAATACCTTTTCCATTGTCCAGCTGACAAATAGAGAGAACAGAATTAACTTTAATAAACTAATAACAATAGTACACTCAGTTTTATGGGCTATACATACTTTGCTTCAAGGTATTCACGTGGCAATGTCTCGACCTCCTGATGAGCCATGCCTGATGACATCAAGTCTTTTTCAACCAATGAGTCAACCATCACTCTGAAGTGTGCCCAAACATAATCTTCCCAAGACTCACACACTGCCAGGAGCTAAAATAAAGCATATTTTTAGCAAATGATTTTAAAATAAAACACAAATTCTTTTTATTCAACTTTAAAGATGTATTACCGGTTTCAAATTTCCACTTAGGCTAGCATAGATTGCTTTCTCATATCTGTTTATCTGCTCCTAAAATAATAAAATATAATGCATAAATTAATTGAACATAGTATAATGAGAAATATATTGCAAACAATAATAAGAAAAATATAATAATGTAACAGACCAATAAAAGGGAAATTTAATACAATAAAAAAATCTAAAGTACAACAGGTTGAATGAAATGCATATTACAATACCTCTTCAGCCATTCTCCAGCAACATGCCTTCCAGATACCCCTTTGGGGATTTCCTTCAACGGGCTGGAGTTCTAAATTAACTAAAATGTGTAGATAATGTTGTAACAATAGTGAATGGAAAAAACAACAGAACCATTGCTGTAGGTATGACAAAAATGTGCGCTTCACTTCAATGTCGTTTTAATATAGCAATACCTGAGGTGAGGTTTGGGTCATGGTAAAGCTTCCAGCCCTCTAGAGTTGCTGCACGCCAAGCCTGACCGCAGCGCTTACACAGCCTTTGAGCCTAACACACGAAAAAGTGGGAAATGCACCCATATCAGATTAAAGGTTACAAGAGTTCCATCATGACCATAATTTTGAATTCTGTATCTAAAAGTGTGATGAAGTGGGACTGTTGTCACAGCAATTGACAATTGTTTGACTGTGCAAACTCTATATATATATATATATATATATATATAACTCTAAAAATAACTTACTTGAATACCAATATCTCCCATTACCTCTTTTGTATAAAGTCTTAACACATTATATAGGATAAGTTACAAGTCGTCTTCATACCTCGTCAGTCATTCCTGCTCTAATGAGAGTGAACAAGTTCTTCAGCAGTCGAGCATCATCTTCTCTGTCCAGGTCAGCCAGAGGGCGTTGCTGACGAAAAGATGCGTCTGGATCCTGATAAAGTACACAAATAATTCAAATATGTGAACACATGATTATTTACTGACCAAAAACATTTCTTACCAGCTCAGTAACTAGAGGAACAGTCATTGTTGTGCCACTTTTTCTCCTCATCTTTAACGAATGGAGTGTGTTCTCCCTAGGATGTTCATACACAAGATTTTGGTGGTTTTAATGACATACCATGATATGTTTTTACAACAAAAAGATAAACTTACCAACAGACATTCTTTGCATAGTATTCAATATTGTCAGAAAAGTCTCCAATTTGATCTTTGGCAATGCTTTCTAACCAGTCAACCACAAGCTGCGAAAAAACAAAACACATTATAATGAACTGTGAAGAAGACATTTATGCAAAAATGTGATGTGATTTTACTTTAAAAAAAAATTTAAAAAGTAAGACCCCAGTCTCAACTCTTTACCTGACTTTGTCGTATTATGGCATCTCGCTGAAACAGCTGTTGAACCACAACTTTTTCACTCTCACTGGGAATCTAAAAAGAAATAACTAGACCTTACTAGAGAGCAAAGGCAACAAAAAGTATCATCTTTGACCATAAATGTCACCATGTGCAGCAAAAACAAAATAGTTTGAAAAGTGGGTGTCAAAAAAGTCTTGAATGAGTTTCTTACACCTATATCCATCATGACGTCATCTTCAAGAGCCAACTGGACCCGATCTCTGGTGAAATGAACAATAATGTGATGGTGGTGATTTAAATAAAATTAAAAAATTAATGATGATGATAGGATTCGGGGCTCAACATACTTGTATAGTGAGTTAATAAGCCTCCACGTACAATTTTCCTGTTGCAGCAGCCACCTTACACCTGCTGTTTTACTGTTCTGACCCGCTCGGAGGACCACAGACTGAAGCACATCTACCTGCAGCAGAAAAACATTAGAGGTGCAATACTGACAAAAAATACTTAAGTACAAGTACACAAAAACTACAACCTTGTCCTGACAGAGAGCTTGATAATCCTCCAACAAGTCAAATACTGCAGACAAAGAATGTTTCTGGAAGGAACTGAGGAAATCTGAAAATAAACTAGCTGCAGCTGAAAACAAACACACCGTATTATAAAAGCCACCAAAATCACACTCACTTGACAGAATAGTGCATTTACCGGTCTCTCCAGGGTCATCCTCCTTTAGTAGGGCAGAGCCAAGATTTGTAATGTCATCTGTGAAGAAACTAGTGTTTTCTAATCCAGACACAGGGGAGATGTACATGCTGTTGGTCCAATCACTGTCATCTAAATTCTAAGAATGCAACAGAGTAATATTTGAGTCTGAGTAATCATCTTTCTATTAATTGTATTGTCTTTGCCTTACCAAACTGCTCAGGGCACCTCTGGGAGTGTGTGCGTATCTGGGAGTACGACCTCCAGGAGCCAAAATGGAAGAAACATCTGGGACCCTAGGAGTTACTTCAAAAGAAAAATATCAATTAGTGATGATATTCACAACATATAGTATGGTATGGGTTTAAGACGTACCTGCCTGCCTATACAGAGAGGCTGGGGTATTCTTCAAAAGGGAACGAGCTGGGGTCACTGCTGAAGCAACAGGGCTTCCCGGGGATGGAACTAAACAGCCGCTTAGGAAAATTAAGCACAAGCACTACATAAAGAAAATAATGCATGAGGTTCCCACTTAATGAATATACAGTAGTATCTATATGGCACCATTAATGTCCATGTATAACCATAACACTTAAATGAGAGATGAAACATAATTTAAGGATACAGGCCACCTTTTTTCTTCTTCGGCGTGCAGCAACTGTCACTTCATCATCTCGGACCACTGGTGAAGGCAGCTCACTCTGACCCCTGAAAAACAACAGCACAAAACCCGAACCGCGTTAAATAACAAGAGCATCCTTATAACTGAAACAAGTTTAGCAGCGGTATTAGCATAGTTAGCCCAACCTAGCAAAAATCAAGTGCGTACTCTAACATGAAATAGGCTGATGTCCCACCATAATCATAACACATGTCACTAACAATTAGAGAAGTAATTGTACTTAAAACGAGAATTAAAATCTAGTTTGTTTGTTTGTTTTTACCAGTCCATTCTGTTAGTTCCCGCTTCACGAGGTTTTGTACACTGTCTTCTTCGTGTGGGTTTTATTGAACATTTTTTACGAGTTTATAGTGCAGCTGCGCCCTCCGGTGGACCGTATGTTAAACATTCATAAATAAATGTACAAACTAGATGCTGGTGGAGAGGGAAAAATTAATTAAATCAAAAATGGTTAAATTTTTTGCCATGCTTCACTTTATTGGCCTTAATTAGCTTGTATTTTTTGTTCAATTCCGTCTGTGTTTTATCGAGAGTATAATGACCAATGCAGAAGAGGGCACTGTTGCACAAAACACGCAAGTTAAGCGGCGTCAGCCTGAACACAGAGGAAACATATAGGGAGGTTTACTGAGGACTTGATGAGCCCCAGATCCCAAACTACGGAGCACACTCTCAGAGACCAAGTATTTTTAGGCATTTACAGCAAATTTCCACTCTCTTGGTTTTGTGACGCATATGTTGGGAAAATATACGAGTATAGTTCCAGGCAACCAATTTCTGCAATGGAAGAGGGAAAACTGGAAGAGTAAATCCATAAAGACCCCAGGTAGGAACAATCAAGTCCATTGAGTGGATGAAATGAAATAACCCCTTGTCGTGAGAAGTTGACACGTTTATGCAGACCACTATGGCAACTGCTTAAGTCACTGAGAAAACCGTTATTTTTCTTGATTCTTAAAACAAAATATAGCTTAACTTAATTTTTTTGTGACCCCATGATTGTAAGGATTTTTTTTTATGTCATAACTTCGCGGTGCTTACTGTTTTACTCACTAGTGTAAAATATGTAATAAAATAGTTTTAATGTTAATGTTTTTCATTTTTAGTATGAAGACACAACAGTTGAAGTGAACTTCATTGAAAACAGAACCATGGCTGAAGGAATTACACATTTCTCAGCCAACAAGCGACTTATTGCTGGCCTGTTAGTCAACTTGCTCTCTTCAATCTGCATAGTCTTCATCAACAAGTGGATATATGTTCATTATGGATTTCCTAACATGACTTTGACCTTGGTTCATTTTGTGATCACTTGGCTGGGACTTTACATGTGTCAGAAAATGGACATTTTCTCTCCAAAGAGCCTTCCAATTCGCAGGATAGTGTGGCTAGCTTTAAGCTTTTGTGGCTTTGTGGCCTTCACCAATCTTTCCCTGCAGAACAACTCAATCGGAACATATCAATTGGCTAAGGCTATGACTACACCTGTAATCATCCTCATTCAGACGGCCTATTACAAGAAAACCTTCTCCACAAAGATTAAATTGACCTTGGTTTGTTCAAACTGAATATGCCATGACTGTTTTTCAGTACAAATAACAATACAAACAAACAATATTTAACCCTTTTGTTTACTAGGTGCCTATAACATTGGGTGTAATACTAAATTCTTACTATGATGTGAGGTTCAATTTGCTCGGGACTGTGTTTGCTTCTCTGGGTGTTCTGGTGACCTCACTGTACCAAGTGGTAAGCAAATCATGCTATGATTCATGATGATTTAAAATGACCATAACATGCATATTTTCTCTTCTAGTGGGTGGGAGCTAAACAACATGAGCTCCAGGTGAACTCCATGCAGCTTTTATACTACCAGGTAAAAGAACATGAGAGACAGATTTAAAAGTGCATACGTGTGACTTCAAAATACCCCATTGAGCATAAATTCACTTCTGGCAGTTGAATTTGTGGATGTCAATTTTATATTTTGTATGCTTTGTATGATATGTATGTCTTTGTTTATATTTATATATAAGCTATTGTTATTTTGCATAAAAACACATACTTTGCAGCTGACGTAATCAACTTTCTCTGGGGGTGTGATTCTAACTGCAGGTACAACACAGTCTGAATCTTTTACTTAAATTAGATTTTAATCTGGGCTTTATTTTAATGCAGTCTGACCATAAAGAACAGATTTTTTTTTAAACTACAACAGGTAAGCTGATTTGTGCTGTTAAACAAATCTCGCACACATAAAATTATAGTTACAAGGAAGCTACCATTGGCCAACAGTTTTTTCAGTTAGTCTATCTTACCTTTTGTTGAAAATAAACAGGACCATGAAGACTTATTGATTACACACTCCTGAAAATGTGCTGTTTAAATCCATTGTGTATTTTTTTGGGCAGTGTTTGCTAATGTGTGCATTATATCACCATGGTAAGTAAAAATACACACCCAGAGTTATGTCAATAAGTAGTATCAGTAATAATATGATATATTTATTAACAAAAGGAATGGTGTAATTTGTTATTAATAATATTTTGTTATTAATATATATTTACCATTTTTGTTGCATTCATAATGTTTTAGGCACCGCTGTCATCAGCCTTTTTGATCTGCATTATTCCATTGTTTGAGCCAGTTACTGGTGAAGGGGGAATATTTGGACCCTGGTCACTGCCTGCATTGGTAATATTTCACTGTTTACTTTGGATACATACATACATACATGTGTGTATAATTGCTGTTGCGTTTATCTTGACTAGGCAACTGTACTTCTCTCTGGTGTGGTGGCATTCCTGGTCAACCTTTCCATCTACTGGATCATTGGAAACACCTCAGCTGTCACGTATCCTTTTTGTTAATTCAAGAAACCACTTTTTGTTTGATTTATCCTTCTGTAGCTATAATTCTCAACATAGCTTTAAGTTACAATATGTTTGGTCATTTTAAATTTTGCATTACTTTGGTTGGAGGTTACGTGCTTTTTCAAGACCCACTGTCAGTCAACCAGGTCAGTACTACATCAGTCAATTTATATATATATATATATATATATATAATATATTTTTTTTAATAATTATTATTTTTTAACTGCTGTCTCTCATTGTGTTCTTATCAGGCACTTGGAATCCTTTGCACTCTGGCTGGTATTCTCTCCTACACACATATTAAGCTCACCGAACAAGAAGAAGGGAAAAGTCGCTTGGCTCAGCGGCCTTAGCGTGAAACTCAAAAATGGACTGACAATTAAAATGGACTTCTGCCTAATGCACTCAGAGAATTTAGTTCTGTACAGTTTTAACATTAGTTACCTTGCAGCCTGTTTAAAGCTAAAATAAAATGTTCTTGATTTGGTCAGTGCTTTGGTTTATTAGGTTGAGATTTAAATATGATGAAATATGTGACTCTAGAGTCTGAGAAACATCTGAAAGATACTAGGTTTGATTAAAATGGTTATAGATGTTAAAGTGTTATTCAGCTTTAAGTTCAATTTGTCTGCCAGCTAGGTTCTGGCAACTTTATTTCAGTTCATTTTTCAGTGTTTACTGTAATGAGATTATTGGTTATTTTATTTGTTTTTACCACATGGTTTCCAGTGCCAGGCTAGCTTTAGATAATTTTAGTTCGTTTAAATTAACACACATTATAAAGTTGTGCCTTCTCAATGTTTTAACATGCTATTAATAAAAATAATATGCTTAAATAAATAAATATATCTAATGTAAGATTATGTATATGAGTATTTTCCACCTCACGTCGAAATTTGGGTTGTGGAACAAAATTTTAGACAGGCATTTTTAGAGTCGTTTTTAGGGTCCTGGTTTTCAACTAAGGATGTTAAATTACGGAAAAAAGGTAAAGTGCTTTTCTCAGTGCCTGTTTATTTTGACATTGCAAGAGCATTAGCAAATTCATCCAGGGTGTAAAGCTGTATGGTTCTATTCGAGGACATAACGAGGATTTAGGTAGTATTTTCGGGCTGTCAAAACGTGTGTTTACATTATGGTTTGCTTACGGAAGTAGCCTAGCGGTTATTCCCACAGGCTTGCTATCGAAGCTAAGGCTAATGCTAAACGTGTTGTAAATTGTTCGTTTTTCTTCAGTGTTCTAAATTTTTAGTCTTGCTTAACATATCTACCAGTACCAGTAATGTCCCTATTTGTACTGTATTTTATTTTTTATTCGGATTGGATGCAAACATACTGTTAAACATTCATTTAACGTGAAGCTAACGTGCATTTGCGTTGGAACGTTAAATTAGCTGCCATATAATAATGGTTTTAGTATTTTATATTCTTTCTCTCTAGTACGAATATTTCTCAAAAGGTATATGATCTAAAATGCGTTTTAAACGTTAGCGTTAATATATCTTCTAAGTTTTTATTCACGGTGATGTTTATTGCTTAATCTTACAGCATGCCTGCTGAAGGTAAGCGCGTAGTGAACATGGATGAGAAAGAGTTTTCCTACAATAACAAGGATAGAGAAGGAGAGAGAAGAGGTGCACCTCGAGAGAAAACAAAGGAAGACACTAAAATGAGTGCTAAAAAGGACAGTGGCAAAGAGGAGAAACGAAAACGCATTGAAGAGGAGAAGAAGAAGAAGGAGGAAAAAGAGCGTAAGAAAAAGGAGGAGGAGAAACAAAAAGCTGAAGAGGAGTTGAAGAAGAGAGAGGAGGAAGAAAAGAGACAGCAAGAGGAGCACAAGAAGAAGCTCCAGGAGGAGGAAAGCAAACGACAGCGTGAGGAGGAGGCAGCCCTTGTGAAGTGAGTCTCTTCTACACATTTATTCTAATATATTGTACTGTTATGGTCTATAATGTAATGTAATTCATATTTCTGACTCAGTTATAACAACTACACTTAATTATGTGTATTGATTCCTGAAGGGAGAAGGAAGAGTGTCACCAACTACACCAGGAAGCCTGGGAGCGACATCAGAGCAGGAAGGAGTTGCGCAGCAAAAATCAAAGTGCCCAAGATGGTCGTCCTGAAGAAGCCTTTTTCAGTCGGCTGGATTCTAGTCTCAAAAAGAATACAGCTTTTGTCAAAAAACTGCGGACACTTACTGAACAGCAACGTGACTCACTCTCCAATGACTTTGCCTCTCTCAACCTTAGCAAATATATTGGAGAGGCTGTGAGCTCTGTTGTAGAGGCAAAACTTAAGATTTCAGATGTGGGCTGTGCTGTTCATCTATGCTCACTGTTTCACCAGCGGTATGCAGAGTTTGCACCATTATTGTTGCAGTCTTGGAAAAAGCACTTTGAGGCTAGAAAAGAGGATAAGACACCTAATGTCAGTAAGCTGCGCACAGACCTGCGCTTTATTGCAGAGCTCACCATTGTTGGACTCTTTACTGACAAGGAAGGCCTTTTGCTCATTTATGAACAACTGAAAAACATCATAAACACTGACCGGGAGACTCACACTCATGTGTCAGTTATCATAAGCTTCTGCAAACATTGTGGAGATGACGTAGCAGGTCTAGTACCACGAAAAGTTAAACTGGCTGCAGAGAAATATAGTTTAGTATTTCCTCCAAGTGAGATAATCAGCTCAGAAAAACAGCAGCCTTTTCAAAACCTTTTGCGGGAATACTTTACATCACTTGCCAAACACCTGAAGAAGGACCACAGGGAACTACAGAACATTGAGAGACAGAACCGGTCAGTTTATATCTACCAAAAATAGTCATCTATATGTACCATGTATAACTAAATATGACCTGTTTCCCTTTCAGACGAATTTTGCATTCTAAAGGAGAACTGAGTGAGGACCGACACAAACAGTATGAGGAATTTGCAACTTCTTACCAAAAGCTTTTGGCCAATACTCAATCTTTAGCTGATCTGCTTGATGAAAATATGCCAGAGTTACCCCAAGACAAGACAGTGCAAGAGGGTAAAACCATAAACTTCCCAGTAGATACTAATTAATTGCTAATTACTTAAGAAAATAATTGGTCTGTTTGTTGAACTTCACATTGTGTTTTTTATAGAGCATGGCCCTGGGATTGACATTTTTACTCCTGGAAAGCCTGGAGAGTATGACCTTGAAGGGGGAATATGGGAGGATGAAGATGCCCGAAACTTTTATGAAAACTTGGTGGACCTGAAGGCATTTGTCCCAGCCATCCTTTTCAAAGACAACGAGAAGGCAAACCAGGGAAAAGACAAGGATGATGCCAGGGGTACTCTTTGTTATGTTGCCACTGCTTTTATAGACAGCGTTGCCTTGTATCTTATGCTATCTGGTTTATAGATGGCAGAGAGCTAAAGGATGCCACCACTGCAGAAGAGCTGGAACTAGAATTGGAGGCTTTGGACATCGCAGATGAACCTCTCGAACTGGAAGGGCCCGAAGAGACAGAAAATGAAGAATTGGCCAAAAAGCTAATGGATGACCAAGGTAAAGTTACTGTTATGGGGCCAGTCGTAGAATTGGCAGCACGTTCACTGGAATCATATGGCATGGGTGTGTGTTTTCATGACAAAGCATACATCTGCAAATGAGCTTGTTTTGGTCTGGTTCGGTGCATGACACAGCGCTGTATAGGAGAAACTATACACTAATCACTAAACATGGTTAAAAAATTAGGTGTATGTTCTGTATTATGCATTAAAACAAATCATGCACTAACCTTATTACACAACTGATGCCTCAGTATTTTATTAATATTGACCCTCTGTGAAGAAAAACAAAAGGCAAAGAAATACACATAATAGTCAGGGTTAGAGAAGCTGCATGAATCAGTAAGAAAGATGGTTTGTGATGTAAATTATTTAAATTCTCATTGTATTCAACTTTAGAACAAGAAGACGAGGAGGCAAACACTGGCTCACACTTGAAGCTCATTGTAGATGCATTTATCCAACAGCTTCCCAACTGTGTGAATAGAGACCTCATTGATAAGGTGAGGATCATTGTGAGGCTGTTTTTGCCTTGATTCTTACCTTATCATACATTTGTAAAACTTTTGTTTTTAGGCTGCCATGGACTTCTGCATGAACATGAACACCAAAGCTAACAGGAGGAAATTGGTGCGAGCTTTATTTACAGTCCCTCGGCAAAGGTATTCAGTATACTTTATAAAGTTTTTACCTGAGTTAGACACAACCAAGACCTCCTATCAAATCATTTCAGGCTTGATTTACTACCATTTTACGCTCGCTTGGTGGCCACTCTTCATCCTTGTATGTCAGATGTGGCTGAAGACCTTTGTTCCATGCTAAAGGGCGACTTCAGGTTTCATGTAAGAATTTTGAATATGATACAATTATTTTACATAAGATTCTTCAGAACATAAAACTATATTACTATGTGTAATTCAATCGTAAATGTCAATTTTTTTTTAGATTCGTAAGAAGGACCAGATAAATATCGAAACTAAAAACAAAACTGTCAGATTCATTGGGGAACTGGCCAAGTTCAAGATGTTTTCAAAAACAGATACACTTCAGTGTCTTAAGGTGGGTATCCCATAAGTATAGTCTTAATGAAGGGGGCAAATATATATACTACTGCCTGCACTTAATGTTTGCAAATAGATGTTGCTTTCAGATTTCACTCATCATCACATTGAAATGGCATGCACACTGTTGGAGACCTGCGGGCGGTTCCTCTTTAGGTCACCTGACTCTCACCTGCGCACTAGTGTCCTTTTGGTTCGTATTTTTAATTATTATGAACAGTATTAACCAAAAAAGTACATTCAACAGAAATTACAGCTTTAATGATCATTACGATGTTAATATTATTTAACTTTTAACTTTAGGAACAAATGATGCGCAAGAAGCAAGCTCAGCACTTGGATGCTCGTTACGTAACAATGGTGGAAAATGCTTACTACTACTGTAACCCTCCTCCAATTGAGAAAGCAGTGAAAAAAAAGAGGCCTCCACTGCAGGAATACATCCGCAAGCTACTGTACAAGGATTTGTCAAAGGTGACCACTGAGAAAGTTTTAAGGCAGATGCGAAAGCTGCCCTGGCAGGACCCTGAGATCAAGAGCTACCTGATCTGCTGCATGGTGAACATTTGGAATGTCAAATACAACAGTATCCACTGTGTGGCCAATCTGCTGGCAGGACTTGTGGCTTACCAAGAAGATGTGGGTATCCATGTGGTGGATGGAGTCCTGGAGGACATTCGACTGGGAATGGAGGTAAAGGAGCAGATCAATCACAGTTACTTTACTGTTGTTTCACACTGAGAAAATTACCTCTTATTGCAGGTTAATCAACCAAAGTTCAATCAGCGTCGCATTAGCAGTGCCAAGTTTCTTGGTGAACTCTATAACTATCGCATGGTGGAGTCAGCTGTAATTTTCCGTACCCTGTTCTCCTTCATATG